TTTGCTGGAATGGGGTTGAGATTCTGCACCATCTGCTCCCAAGGGAAGAGAAGTGGGCTAAGAAGCATTAGCACAAATAGTTGGAGTGCAATTTTTTGTTATTAGAAGATCTTGAGCAGCAGAAATGGGAGAGTTAACCCTTTGTGAATCAAATCTATCATGCAAACTATTCACACAATTTAAACCAGCATCAATATTATGAACTAGCATAGCCATATCATCCATGACATCCACACAAGGGATATTCGGATCAGGAAAACCCACATGCAGAAAGCAGTCAGACATAGGCTCACATACAGAGGAAATGGCCCGAACCGACTCCAATGAAGGCTCACAAAGCATGCTAATGCAATCCTTATCGATTTGCTTAGACATACCCACATAGATAGAGGAATCCAAGTCTCGATGAACGTTGGACAAGTTTTAAATAGCCTTCAAAACAGGTTTGCGAAGAGGATATCAACCAAGGAAAGATGCTTGTGATCCTCAGAAGAAGCATATGTATCTGAATGCCATAAATCAGCTGCAAGGGCGCCCTTGAAAACCTACTCACCAGCTTCAGAACCATGCCTTCCAAAACAATCCAATAGTTCCCTTTCTTAGCATCCTTCAAACCATCACTACTCCCACCGAAGCAAGGAGAAGAACGCCTGCCTCTCCTATCATCCATCTTCAACCTAAAGCAACTAAACGGAAAGAGGAGGTGCAGACATTTCTATTTAACTTATTTTGGCTACAGGAAAATTGCGACCTTATATATCATTCCTGTAAAACTTGCTCACAAGCTTCAGAAATCATGCCTTCCAAAACCTTCCAATAGTTCCCTTTCCCAGCATCCTTCCTACCTAAAGTTTGAAGAGTGCTATCAAGGGCAAATTATTATGTCCGGTGTCCGGATTTGTCTGGACATCAATTCAGGCCCCACGTCACTAAAATACATGGGGACCCAGTGTATTCGAGTGACGTGGTGCGTCTGGATTGGGTGTCCGGACGTCCAGTGACCGGACGTAATAATTCGCCGCTATCAAGACACTGCAGCTTAGTCTTGTAAGGGCGAGACTCATCTTATGGCAAATAATTCCACATTAGAATTGGGTAATTGTGAAATGGATATTTAGGGTTTGAACATATTTGGAGCTGAAAGTTCTATAAAATGATAAGTTTTGCTTAGAGAATGGGGGATCTCCATATTAAATGTTTGGGATGTTAGAGAACTAATGTTAGTATTCTCATGAATTTTGGATAGTGATTAATAAGTTGTGATATTTTTTGTTAAATTGTTCATAACAAGAGATTATCTTTTTATATTAATTTTTTGGCATATATCTTAGAACTATTAGGGAGTTTAGGTCTTGAAAAGTTATGATAGATATGCAGAGGGATATTTAGGAGAGTTTTAAAAAAGTTAGATGCATTTTCGTGCTGAGGGATGCTATAATTAAAGCTAGGTAGATGAGACGAGAATTGTGCTGTTAAAGATGATAAATAAATGTGATAAAAGATAACTAATGACTCGCCAAAATCCTATAGAATCAGCCACCAAGCCTAACATGAGATTATAATAGCCACAAATCCTTTCTATATAAATATTGTACAATTAAATGGTAATTTAATTCAATGAGTCCAAAAGTTTAAAACAATCTCTTATTTATATGTATTTTTTTAAACATAAACAACTTTAATTAGTCTTAGGAGCTAATAAAATACCATTACATTGATTGAGGACTTGCATTAATACAAAATGAAAAATAAATAAATAAATGAATAAATATTTGAGATTTTCAAGGATATGGAAGTTTGGATTAGCCAAATAGGATAAGTAGAGTGATCTTAAAATCAAGCAATTTTTGAAGATTTCTATCCTTTCTTATTTGAAATGGCCAACCTAACCATTAAAAGACCTTAAATTTATATTCTAAAATATTCTTCAATAATTTTAAAAAAACTATGAGTCATTCGTGAGTTTAAATAATTCGGAATGAGCATGTTGTTCAAGTCGCACATCATTTAATGACAAATGCAACACCATAAGCCCTATCATATGCATTAGGATGTTAGATGTTTAATATTTTAGTCTATGTTTACTGTAATTTGTAATTGAAATTATATGTACTTCAAATAAATTAATACAATTTTACTTTTTCTTAGGTCGATGTTATGCTCAGACTAATAAATTAATGTAAATATCATCATTTGAATGGTTATAATACAAACATAAATATATGATTGAGTTAAGCCGATGAGTAAATGAGACCAACTAATTTAATTAAGAGATTCTAAAGATGTGGCATAGAAAATATAATATACCACATAAAAAAAGGATTAAATTTGGAATATATTCAATTTAATAGTAAAGAACATAACTTAAAATTAAAAGCTTTAGACACACTACCAAAAAACAAGCCCTTTCGCAGCGGTTTTTTGCACCGGTTTTAAGAACCGCTGCCAAAGCAGCTAATTGCATCACAAATTTGAAAATTATTGCAGCGGTTAAAACCGATGCAAGTTGCACCGGTTAAAACCGCCACCTTTCTGTAAGCATTTATTTTTCAAATATTCGTTGCGGTTATAACCGCTTCAAATCTGGACTATTGTCGCGGTTAAAATCGCTGGTATTATCCGCATTCTCTGTTCTACCCCGTCGGTCCTGAAACCGCTGCGGAATATCTTTGCAGCGCATTGAAATCACGGCGGACATCCAGCGGTTGTAAAACCGCTGCAAAGAAACATAGTAGCGAGTAAAATCGCCGGGAAAAGTCGAAAAATGTGCTACGAAAGGCTAATTTTTTGGTAGTGACACCATGTAAATCAAGCTTGAAATCAGTCAATGAAAATAAAACATGATATATATATATATATATATATATATATATTAGCACTTGACACATCATCAAAATGTTTTTTATGATTGGGAGTGAATCTCGAATCAATTTTGAATTGGAAACTTTCAAAATTTAATCCAGAACCATTCAAATTCTGATTTCAACAAAATTAAAGTTGAAATAAATGTCTTGAAAAGATGAATCCAATTACACCAAATTCGACCTAATTCGAATCCAAATGGGTCTAAATCAAGGAACCCAAATGCATTTGGAAGGTTCAAACCATAAATTGGATGGCCAAATGATCTCCAAATGTTTCACAGCTGAATCAAGCTGCTCAACGAGACGAATCCAACGAGCCCAAGATCATCGAATTCTAACATAATTAAGGCATTTAAATACTCGATAAACAGTCTATGATCAAAAGAGTCGATATCAGTCATCCATTTGAAACACTCTCAACATGTTCTTAATCTTTTTCCAATTTTTTGGTCATGCCATTCCAAAAAAATTATAAATATACCGCTCATTCTTCATTAAGGGGGAATGAAGCAAGGAAGAGAGAAAATGAAGAAAAAGCAGAGTTCTCTTACCATTAGACTCATTGACCACCGCCCAACCACCAACTGTCGCCAGACTTTTGCCCAGCCATTGTTTGTCTCTGGGATCCCACTCGACCACCAATTATTGTCGGACATCCAGTTAACCACCAACTGACGCCAGATTTATGTTTGGCCACTGACCGTCTTCGAACTCTCGCCTAACGAACTGTCCCGGGACTTCTATAAACTGACGCCAAATTTACACCCGACCATCGACCGCAATTGGATTTCTTTCAGGTCACCAATCGTCGCCAAAATTCTGCCTGGCCAACAGCTGTCATCTAAGTACAATCTTTCCAAACTCCGTCACCTACTGATTACAATATTTCCAACCTCCATCACCGCCGATTACAATCTTTTTGACCACTGTTATCGGACTATGATCCTTCATACCATCATCGCCGACTACAATCCTTCTGACCACTATCACCCGCCAATTACGATTTATCTGACCTTTGTTGCTTGACTATGATCCTTCTAACCATTGTCACTCAAATATGGTCCTTTCAAAACCGTTGTCCGACTGTAGCCCTTTCGATCATTGTCATCCGACTATAGTCCTTTTGACCACCTTCACCCAACTATGATCTTTCCTACCTTTGCCGCTCGTTGACTATGGTCCTTCCAACCACCGTCACACTACTACAGTCTTTTCAACCTCTGTTGTCAACCAACTTCAGTCTTTTCGACCTCCGTTACTAACTGCGGTCCTTCCAACCACCGTCACTCCACTATGGTACTTCTAACCTACATCGCTCCCCGACTATGGTCTTGCCAACCAAACGAACATATAAACACTTATTCTTCTAACTTCCACCATGTATTGCACTCGATATTATATATTTGCAGCATTGAGCCAAGGCCTTCCACCCAAGGAAGTGCTTCATTTGTAATCAAATGCAAATACTAGTGGATTCATTTAAATTGGGCAAGACCTTGTGAATTTTTCCCATTTTCAAGAGTTTCCACATAAAAGTTTTGGTGTCTCTTATGAACGTGGCATCCTATCTTTTATCTAATTGTGTGTTGGATCTTCGTAGAAAACTAAGACGTTAAAATTCATATTCCTCTACTGCCATGAATATTTCAGGATGCAAGATCACTAAACAATATTTGCGGGTAAATCCTAAGCGTAGTTCATATATATAATATATATATATATATATATATATGTAAAGATCAATAGACGAATGATGTAAAACTACTTTGCTAATTTTAATAGTGATATATTATTGCTATATTAATTGTTAAGATAAATTATGCAGTGGATGATCTGGCCATATATTTTGCAAGAAGTCTTGATTAAAAATATTGTATTTGCGTTTAAATAAATAAAAGCCATATTGTGTATGAATAATAAATAAATTATGTTATATTTGTGTAAAATATATTTTAAAGCCTAAACTAATTTTATTCAAATACAATGTTTAATAAAGTTTACAAAATTATAATTTAATTTTTAATCTTAAAAATGATTAAGGCCGATCATCCGTTTTGAGTCTTTGCTTAAATTATTTTTAGGAATGATATATTTTCTTCTTTATATAATAATTTTCTTAAAATTTGCCTGCACGCTTAGGCGACCATTTACTCTACAAATATGAAATAGCTCTAGCCCTAGTCCTCTCCATTCCTTCGGGCAAGAACTCTGGTAGGGCTGTCCGTACTCCGTTTTCATTGTATCAAGAGATCGGGGCAGACGAAGAGGAACGAGATAGAGGCGGAAATTGCTTGAAGGAATCGGAATCTGTAATTGAGTCTTGTGGCGCCTTCTTCCGCAATGTTATCCAGCTTCTAGGGTTTAAGTTGGTGTTTTCTTGCTATTTTGTTGTCAGTAACTAATGAGAGAGTGAGGGGAATTGCTAGGTGTTGTAATTGCACCCCTCTATTGTGTTTTCCTTTTATTGTTGTTCGAGGGTTTTCAATTCAATTTCCTGTAAAAGCCGTAAAAGATTTATTCTTTTTATTTTGGTACCAGTGACTCTGGATGGTAGTGTTATATTTCTTCTTTCTTTCTTTTTGTTTAATCGCAATTTCCTTCGCTCTTGTTTTTAGCTTGCATATAAAAGAAAAAAAAAAGAATAAAATAACTGAAAATAAAAAATTAAAAGAAAGGGCAGGAACCCTTGTTGTTGTATCTCTAACTGCAAGCAAGATCTTTTAGGGTTCCTTCCCAAACATCTATTTGTAAGAAAGAAAATTCATCCATTTAGAGGAGAGAAGAGTTTGATGGGCAGTTCAGTTGTGGCCAAGCGTGGTAATGGATATCTTGGGGTCACTGAACCAATCTCCTTGAGTGGCCCTACAGAATTAGATGTGATCAAGACTAAAGAGTTGGAAAAGGTACCTTTCTTTGATGTCTTATTCCTAAATTATACCGTCTTTGTGCTTTCTTTTGATGTTAAATTCTCTGCAATAAATTCTTTTGCAAGTTTCTCGAAGATGCTGGGTTGTATGAAAGCCAGGAAGAAGCAGTATCGAGGGAGGAGGTCCTAGGGAGGTTGGATCAGGTAAATCTGGCATAATATTCTATTAGATAGTAGTTGTCATCTTATGGTGCTTATGTTATAATTCACATAACATTTATGATTTTTTGGTTTGGGACAGATAGTGAAGATCTGGATAAAAAGGATCAGTAAGGCAAAGGGTTTTAACGAGCAGTTTGTTCAAGAAGCCAATGCAAAGATCTTCACATTTGGGTCTTACCGCCTTGGGGTATAAATTCTACTTCTAATTTATTTACTGCTCACTTTTAGTAGGAATTTTGTTACTTTTTGTAAAGGGAAGGGAAATTTAAAAATTACTCGTGTAAGCCATTTTTCCTGTATGTAATTTGAAGTTCTGAACTAAGAAGTCTGTGAGAAGCAAATTGATATTTTGACTGTGAGAGCAGTGTAAATTGTATTATATATTTGCATTGATGAAGCATTTAACTGGCTAACCTAAATATAATGTCTTTTGAAAGGATTCTTTAAATAGAAAAGTCGATGTGTATTTTTTTCTTTAACACCTCATTTTATTTGGGGGTGGGAGGATGGGATTGTGTCTGTTATTTAATTGGTTTATTTCTGCTGCATAAAGTTTTCTCTTATTGTATGCACTTGTATGAAGAAGAACATTTTGTGTTAACTCTAAGCACTATGATAACTGTTATTTGCATTTTGTTGATGAGTTTATTATTTTGTCTATCTTGTTGTTGTTTGTATGAGGATTTGCAAGATAATTATTCTATTAATTACCAAGGAATCTCTTTCTTTGAATATTTAAGAAGGAAAGAGTCTTGGTTTCAAGGGTGGAGTTTTACTACTATATTATGAGCTTTCTCAACCTTACATCTTTTTATTTAATGCCACATATTCCCAGAATAATGAAGAAACAGTTTTGGTGCTATTCACCAAGACAATAGGAGCACTTCATTTGGTTATGTGGTTAATTATTTATGTGAGATCTGTGAATATGAGTAGGCTAGTGATTATGAATATCAGGCCTTTTACATATCAAGTGAAGATGAAATCTTCAAAATTAGAAATACACCTTTCCCATTTAGTGGTTTTTCTATTAATCATATAGAAAAATGGAGAAATTGTTTTGCATTCATAAAAGTGCACCTTATACGGAGGTCAAATTTTAGTTTTGACATCTTAAGCCTAGGAGAGTAAGCCTGCATTTTTATGCATCCATTCTTAAATTGCGTTTTCCTGCATTGTAAAATTCCAAAATCTCTCTGTTGTGATGATCATGGTTAGAGGTTTTACTGCATGAAATGCTTATCATGGACTGGTCTTGTGCACCGTAATGACCCCAAGTTTGTAATTCATTTGTTTCCATTTTTGTTTTACGTTATATTTGTTCATCCAAGCAAGACCGGTTTGTTCATGCCTAAGTTGTGCTGGAGTTGAATTTGAACTTTTAAAAATTTTGTTATGAACTGGTTCAATTTTCTTCCATTCCACCTGGATTGTACTTTAATCAAGCTTTAATGTGCCATTTAAATTAAGAAAAACTGTCATGTTATTGAACTCTTGTATAAATCAAATTAACTCTCGAAGGATGAAATTTCTGATTTGTTGAAGAAACCTGGCAAACATAAATTAATTTAAAGAAAAGTACATTGAAGTTTTAAAATTTCCTAATTTATTAACTAGCACATGACTTGTAGGAAGCATGCATTGTAACTCTTAGCGGGCTACTCCTTTAGTTCAAAAAGATCATAGGAATGATCCTAATTAAACAAGTAAACTATGTTTAATCTTGTTAGGTGTTGAGCTTATCTCCTGACCTGTTGTATGATTAGGTAAGCAAACAGCCATAAACAAGTTTAAGGCTGCTCATTTACTGTATCTTTTGGTTTATTTTTGTATGTCTTGTATCATCCATTCTAAACATATATTACACCTTATAATTTAAATCTTCTTGTAACACTCGTTAAATCAGGAAAACATTTGCATTAAATGAACAGTTCTGCAAAAGTTTGATGGCCCTCTTGCAGCCTCTCTGATTGTCCTGAGATTTTGCATTCCAGTAACGGGCTTTTTGTTTAACTCATCCAAGAGTACTTTATGTTTGGAGGACTTGAGCCTTTGAGGGTTTTTATAAGATTTTGAAGCTATAATCGTTCTTGCATGTGCTTCTAAGGTTTTGAACCTATAATCATTATTGCTTGTCGAAGGCATACATTATTTTAACACAAGATTACAAGCTTCTATATAGCATCCTTTTTTACCGGTGTAAACTTGTTTCACGCCGTTCATTGCATGAGAAGATATTATAGTGAAATATGAAATGTTTGAATCTTTAGATGGCTTCCTATGTAATCTATAAATAGAGTATTATGCAGACAAGTATCCTGCCAAGTAGCATTGAACTGCTTTTGGCTACTGTTATCTTCCTGTGGTTGGCTTTATATTCACCAAAATTTTTGAAGTTGATAACGAACAGAATTTTTTTTTTTTGTATTCCATTTCATTTCCATTATCAGAGGCTTACCTCGCATTATGTTTACCTGAAAATGAAGGCTAGCCCTTTCCTTCTGTAATATTGTGTTGGCTTTATGTTTAACTTGAAGAAATGAATGGTAAGTTTTATTGTATTTGTAAAGAGTGTTTTCTTTTCCATTAGGTGCATGGCCCTGGGGCTGATATTGACACGTTATGTGTTGGACCAAGACATGCAACTAGAGAAGTAAGTTCAGTTTCACTTTGTTTTTTAATTTTAAATTCACGCCTTCATTTAGCCTAGTAACGTAATCTGTTGATTGATATCTTGTTTCAGGAAGACTTTTTCACAGAACTTCATAACATGTTGGCTGAGATGCCTGAGGTAACAGAGCTTCATCCAGTGGCTGATGCTCATGTACCAGTGATGAAATTCTGTTTTAATGGGGTCTCTATAGATCTTCTATATGCTAAATTGGCACTTTGGGTGATACCTGAAGTAAGTACTGTTTTTCGTGCATTTACTTTCATCATTAGTGTTGAATAAATTGCTATCATCCTCATAATGCCCACTTAGTCGTTTTGCTCTACAATTTTCATTGAATCATTATATGAAGATGCTAATCCTGTCCAAAGCTTACTTCTGCTTGCCTTCTTCTATACTAAGATCTTTGTTGGATGACTAATCATCTTCCTCTCCTGCTATTCCTATATCTTCAACTTTGCTTCATCTATTTGTTACTTGGTGGATCAACGTCAAATTCATTTGCTTAGAAATATAATTAGGCAACTGAAGTAACTCAAATAGCATATCAACAAATGAATTCCAATAAATGACGTCGCTGCCTCTTTTACTTCCAGGGCTAGCGCTAAGTGGCCAATTCTAAAGTGGGGACAATTCACTTCACATTGATGCAAACCGAATAATTTATATTTCTGTATGTAGATGAGCGCTTGGATTGGAAACATTTTATATGTTTTCATGGCATATTATTTAGGTAAAATTTGAGCATCCCAACTGGATGGCAACACAAATTTGGATTGGCTAAATGATTCTGATGATTCACAAACCAAATTTTGTGTGAACAGTATGCTATATTTAATATAGGAAAAAAAATAGTGCTCGTTCTATTAAAAGATCATAATGCAAACAAAATTCCCATGGAAGAACAACACCATGATAACTAGAAATTAGCATTTTGTAAAGAGCGTATATTGGTAACTATAAGAATTGATCTCTGAAGCTTTTGAAGGCCATTGTATCTTTGTGCCTAATAGATTGGCTAATGACTTAAAAAGATCAGACCTATGAAAGTGTAATAAATGAATATTATCTACTCTTAATTGTGAGATAACATATTCTTTTTTTTTTTTGCAGGATTTGTTTGAATACCATTAAAATTTCTTCTTATTTACATATTTAACACCTAAATCTTAATATTTACTATCTTAGCACTAAAATTGTTTAAATACACAAAAAAACACTGTAGCTACAAATAAAAGCTTATGACATTCTTAAAATAAAACCCAATTGTGACCTGAGAACTGACAAAGGATGGCAGGGATTTCGCTCTAGCTAGGGGATTGTATAAACAACATCGCGGGTGTCAGAGAAGTATATCCCATACATGCCACATAAATCAGCTTGATCCCACGTGCTATCAATGGAAAGATAGATTGTGTGGTGCTTTTTTCAGCTTCCTCATAGAAGCTTATTGTTTTAATCTTTATCATCATAATCTTTTGAGGTCATGTTATAACCAATGTGAAGGATGGTGGCATGCTGTTAGAAGCGGTGAGAAGTAATAGGAAAGAGAAAGGGTGAGGAGGAAGATTAGAAGGTTTTGGTGGAGTCGGTACTCATTGGTGAGCCATCTGTGAGAGATCTTGTTTCTTTAGCTCTTTTCCCCTTTCGGCTTCGTTTTCCGGCTTCGTCATCTGCAGCAGGCTTTCTAATCTTCGAAGTTGTCACTTTTGCAAAAGGATTCTCCCTTGTATATTGTGTAAATGATGGAGTAGGTTTACTGTGGTGCAATTATGATGTTATTTTCGTGTTATATAAAAGTTTATAGCGTTATATTAGTAAATAGTATGGTTTAGCTGTTAAACATGTAAATATAAGATTTTAGTATTATGCATGTAAATCCTCATTTTAATTTTGACGATGTTGAATTATTTCATTAATTCTGATTCAAGAAAAAAGAAGCAATGAATAAATCACGAGGTGGTTAACACTAGCTTATTAGTGAAGTCTCAAATCTTCTATTTACTTGTTTTAATTAGGGATGGAGTTGGATATTTTTTATGCTGACAATATTCGTAAGCAGCTTTTTGTCAATACCTTGATAGAAGTTATATATAGTTTCGTTTGCCCCCAAATTTTTTTTTTTATCACTTTTTAAAGAATGATTCTTATTTTTTTCTTTTTTCAAAATGACTTGAACATAGATTTGGATTTTAACATCAATCTCTAAGTTTTTGAGATGAGAAGGACAAATGTAAATAAACCTATTTTCTCTTCTTTTCTGAGGTGGCCTTCTTTGTTTATCTATGTTAGGGTGATGATCATTTGAACGACTTGAGAATGCAAATTGCCTTTTAACGTCATTTTCCTTTTAATGCAAATAATTTTCTTAAAAGAAAAAAATGAGATATACGACTACTTGCTCCTTTTTATAAAATGTTCCTTTTTATGTCTAGTATAAATAGATGGCCAGAGTAGAACATAGCTTTGAATCCTTTCTTCTGACTACTTCCTGACCTTTTGTTATATAACAGGACCTGGACATCTCACAGGATTCTATATTACAAAATGCTGATGAGCAAACTGTTCGTAGTTTAAATGGTTGTAGAGTAACAGATCAAATTTTACGTTTGGTCCCAAGCATTCAGGTGCTTGCTTGCTAGCTGAGACATTGACAATCTGTTCTTGCAAGCAAAAGTGATGTTTTTTCTTGAAGAAAATTGTAATTGTAATACAATATTCTGATAAATTTCTTATTGATTCAGAGTTTTCGTACAACCTTGAGATGCATGCGATTATGGGCAAAACGTCGTGGTGTTTACTCAAATGTATGTGAATAATTTCAGTATCATGCTTTCAAATACTACACTTTTATATGCATGCTTTAACATATCCTTTTTTGCTTTAAAACAGGTTGCAGGGTTCCTTGGTGGTATAAATTGGGCGTTACTTGTTGCCCGCATCTGTCAATTATATCCTAATGCCTTGCCCAGTATGTTGGTATCTCGGTTTTTTAGGGTTTACACGCAGTGGCGGTGGCCAAATCCAGTGATGCTATGTGAGATAGAGGAGGGTACACTTGGGCTTTCTATTTGGGATCCAAGGAGAAACTTTAAAGACAGACATCATATAATGCCTATAATTACTCCTGCTTATCCATGCATGAATTCAAGTTACAATGTATCATCAAGTACATTGCGTGTTATGACTGAAGAATTTCAGCGAGGGAATGAGTTTTTTGAGGTATGATGTTTAGTTGTCATGTACACTAAGGTAGTTTATTTTTTCTTTGGGTCTCTACATTTATGCCATCTTTGATTGAGATCCCATCTGTTTTATAAAAGAAGCATTACCATCATGCATTGCTATTGCTTGCACCTTTTTATTCCGTGGTTAGTGGGGCTGCGAGCTCTCTTATGTCTGGGTATTCTCTCTTGTTGACTTTTTGATACTGCCTTTTGTAAACAATGCTGTCGTCCAAACTGCCTTAATGTGGATCACGATGACAGGCAATGGAGGCAAACGAAGCTGACTGGGGCACTCTTTTTGAACCTTATCCTTTTTTTGAAGCTTACAAAAATTATCTAAAGATTGACATAACTGCTGCAAATGAAGATGATCTTAGGAAGTGGAAAGGCTGGGTAGAATCCCGACTTCGCACACTAACATTGAAGGTAATAGTACTCTTTGATGTATGTGGTTCTTTTAAAAATATACAAGCAGGTTGTGCTGATTATGCTTCTCTTGTCATCTTGTGAGCCAGATTGAGAGGCACACATTTGGAATGCTTCAATGCCATCCTCATCCTAATAATTTCTCAGACAAATCAAGAAAATTCCACTACTGCTATTTCATGGGTTTACAAAGGCAGCAAAGAGTTCCAGTGCATGAAGGTGAACAATTTGATATTAGGGCAACAGTTGAAGAGTTCAAGCAAACTGTCAAGATGTATGTTTTATGGACAGAAGGAATGGAGATCCAGGTTTCTCATATAAAGCGTAGAAGCATTCCACTTTTTGTTTTCCCTGGTGGAATCAAGCCTCCTCGCCCCTCCAGGGCTGCTTCTAGTGCAGATGGCCATAGCATTTTGAAAACTAAGGCCAATAATATGGTGCAGGCTAGTAAGCCCAGTGAGGCCAATAGTAGTTGTAATGTTGACAAAATTGCTGGCGCAGCTGATGAGGCTGCAGTTACTTCTAATGATCATTTCTTTGACACATCCGAAAGGTTAGTACTTGCATTTGTTTTTCTAGTGCTTGAAAATTACACGTTATTATTCTAGCTCTAAGGTGTCTACCTGTGTGTGTTTACAAACATTCAACAGCAACCTTGGAGATGCTTATGGCAGTTCAGATTTGACAACTAAATTAAGAAAGAGAAAGCAAATGGATGATGCTTTTGAGAATAAGGCTGATACAAAACTTGCGTCTGTTCATTCAAAGAAATCACCTGAAAGTGTTGCAGCAACATCTGAAGATACTTATGGCAGTTCTGATTTGACAACTAAATCAAGAAAGAGAAAGCAAATGGAAGATGCCTTTGAGAATAGGGCTGATACAGAATGCCCGACTGATCATTCAAAGAAATCACCTGAAGGTGTTGCAGCTACAGCTGATGGTGTGGATCACCAAGGAATAGGCTCAGATAACCAGACTTCTAAAGAAGCTGAATCAATAGCAATAAAGAATATCTTAGGTAGTCCATCTACAGTTCTTGAAGCTTCGTCAGGGGAGCTTGATGATCATCATTTGCAAACAAAGGATGAAAACTTAGTAGAAGCTGGGAATGGCAGCCCAAATTTACATCCCACTACAAAGAATATCGGGACTCAAATTGGATCTTCACAAAATCAAAATTCACAAGATGTACATATGGCTAATGTAGCCCTGGAGGAGCTTGAGGTGGTTCCATATGCTATTGTTTCTTACATTTGCATTCTTTTTTCTTCTTTTTTTTCGGGGCAGCATGTGATCTTTTGCTACTTAGCAGCAACATCGTTAAAAAAAATGTCATTTAAATTTCCAGAACATAAAAATGGCGTGTTAAATATTTTAGAAGTTATAATCAAATCAATGTTTTAAAGGTGAAAATGTGAAGCAAAGCATTTGACCTCATATGGAATGAAGTGTAAGCTTTAAAAGTTTTAGCATTTAAATTTTATTAATTTAAAAATATTAAATTATGTTATGAAAATATAAATTGTATAAATAGCAAAATAATAATTCTCATACTTAAAAAATAATACAAGTTTCTGTCATTTTAATTATTTATTAATTAACACATCAAAATATGTAATATCTATTTATCTTGAAATAATGTTATTATAATAACAAATGTTATGTAGCAAGATTAAAATGACTTAAATTATAAATAAAGAAATTTATGATGATAAGTTAAAATTAAAATCATGAAATTATAGGCTTGGGTTGATGGGAAAAAAAATGAAGATATTATATCAATGACAGTTATTACAGGGAAATCACATGAAAGATTTTGTCTTGAAGCATCAAAAAGGGGGTCTTGGGATTGGGGAGAAGTGGCAAGTTTTCTTTTTAATATTTATGCTATTTTATTTCCTTTCTCATTTCGATTGGCATAAAATTTTGAATTAGGCTGTTAAAATTCAAAAGGAAACTTGAAGCTTAAGTTTTTAATACTTTAGAGCGTGTTACGAAGCGTAAGCTTCATACTACAAATTCGATGATGTACAGGCTTTAGAGTAGCATTTTGGAATTGCTTCGTTTTGAAGTATGTTTTTTTTTTTTTTTTGAACTTTAAAGCATTATTTGAAGTTACAAAATCAACTTGCTGTGTTAAAAGTCGCTGGGATTCTACTTCATATGTACTTACCAATTACTATATCGTATATGCATCATTTAGCTTTAGCTTTACTTTGACCTTTGCATTAACATATTTTTCCATTTTGAACAAAAGCCTGCAGAGCTATCCGTTCCATTCAGTGAACCTGCCGCAACTACAACCCAGCGCAAGCCACTTATTAGGTAATTATCGTAGATTGCTCAAATTTTCTTTCATTTCTTTTCTGATCCATTCTGTGTTTCTGTTCGCTCGTGGCTGATTCATCTTTTAAACTTTGTTCTCGTCGTTGATTTTAATAGGATAAGTTTAACCTCTGTTGCAAGACCAGTTGCAAGAAGTCAATGAGCGAAATCCCAGAACAATGTACCAATTTGTATAATGACGCTTTCATTCCTGGAAGCAACAAGATCGAGAAAGGAGCAATTGGATGGATGGGATTTTTCACTTATTTAGGTCATGGAGCTTACTTCGATCTGTTGGTTGGGAAATTTGGCTATGAATTAAGAGGTTTTGGGTTCGAAATTTATGTATGTGATGTGTGTGTGAGTTTACTTTAATTGGCTAAAAAAAAAAAAAAAAAAAGGTCATATGCACTTTCCTCTGTAACTAACAGCTATGTTACTTTCCTCTGTAATGATATATAAAGCCTGGAAAGTTTTTCGCTTGCACCTTTTTATATATTTGAGGTTGATTTGGATAGGCCTAAGTTTGTGTTCTTGATTTTTTATTCCATTAAGTACGTGTTGAGTAGTGGGATAAAGGTTGATGTTGTTGTTATAAGTAGATGATAAGTAGCACTTGTTCTAATCAGTTGATGTGTTTATTTTTATTGGATGAGGGTGAATTTTCGGGCATTCTTCTCATCTATGGGGAAGTGAGTCTGTGCTAATTTGACGAGCATGGGCATCATTAATGCTAGTATATATGGGTATACACCATCACGTTGTTATTTTATAAAATGTATTTGTTATCGAGGTAACTGTTCATTTATTTTCTGAATAATCGAGTTTCTTCAGATTTGGTCATTCCCACACCAGATTTGATCGCAGTATTAGCTCTCAGTAGTCCTAGAAAACGCAGTTATTGAATGCCAGGAGGTGGTCACTACAAATTTGAAAGCGTGAATATTATATTTATATTGGATTATACGTTCTTGTTCCTGTTGATTATTTGGTGTGAACTACTATGCTTCACTATAGTTTAATAGTGGGCATATTTTACATCACCATGTGGTTGTGTGGATTCTTTCATTCAAGAGAAAATAAAAAATAAAAAATTTGAGGCACATGAGATTTTTGATTTAGCATCATATCAGATATTTGCGAGAAATATTTACATACATTTGATATTTAATATCTATTTATCAACATTTGAAAATTAAAATTTTGTATAAAGTAATCTAAGCAGTAAAGAATAAATAATGATAAGCGCACGATCTTAGATCAATTTGCCTTATTTATATATTGCATAAATTTTACTTTCGAATGTTTCTTTTATTATTTCTATAATATAAATGTAAACACTATATACAAAGAAAAATACAATTCAATGTCTTTTTCCGGATTTTTTAAATCTAAAATTAGTAAGCAAAAATCTAGAACAATACGACAGAAGAACTTGGTAGTATCAAATTATATATGTTTTAAATTACTCAGAATGGGTGTAAAACTCACCTTAAATTTTTTGTAATGTGGGAGGAATATCGCATGAGCTGCTATTTCTCATTATTGAGTGATATGAACCTTTCTTTTACTAAAAATATCAACATCATTAAGCTCATTAATAAGAAGATCAAAGCTGGAAAGGAAGGTATAGAAGATCTTTCTTTTACTAATAATTTCAACCATGTTATTTGTAATTGGGTTAATCGTGATAGTAATAAGTTGGTTGATCTTTGTGCTAACTATGCTATTCTTTCTTCTTTCGATTGGGAAGATGTTTCCTTTAATAAGATTCCTCCTAATTTTCTTCAAATGTTAAAGGAGGAATCGGTTGGTTGTATGCTCTAGTCTCTTTTTTTTAATAATATTGCAGCTTCTTGCTTTCTTCAAAAAAAGAGTGATATGAACCTTCGGAGCGAAGAGACCGAACATAATTTGCTCACCAATAAATGAACGCATGTAGTTCAGATGAAAGGAATAATGAGTGGCGAAGCTATGGGTTAACAAAAATTAGTGTCTTAATCCAATAAATTTTAACTATAATAGAATTGGACATGTTAGATATAAGTTTGTTAGTGCGTGATGCCCAACCTTATTCTAGGCAATCCTAGGAAATTGTGACCTGATAACCTATGAAAGGAATGGAAAGAGATGAAGATTGTTCATAAAAAGTGCTTTACTAGCTCAAATGATCATTTAAAAAATGTCAAAAATTTTCTCTTCACCTTTTATTTATAAGAATTTGATGACCGTAAGAAATAGCACATCAAAAAAAGAATAATCTGTATAATAATTAATATCACTTGTATGAACTGTCTGGACATGTGTCATTCTTTGGTTGGCTTTGTGAATGGCTGCATCTCTTATTTTGACCCTTGTGCTTCAAGGCGAGTTTATTTAACTTGAGTGCATACCAACAATTAAAAGTGGGAAGTCTACTGGTGCATGAGGGTTACACTGAGAAGGTTGTAGCTAACAAACACCCTGAAGTCATTAACAACCTTTTTGATGTAGCTCTCGATTGCTTAGATGTGCGAGGCGAGTTTAGTTAAGTTATAGGGATAGTGGGCACAGTGACCGATTGATTGTGATGGGGTGAACCGTAATCCTATTTGAAAGATCCTTTATTATAAATTGAATGATGGATATTGTTTATGACATTCCACCTTAGGTAGGCATGAGTGGCTTTGGTGAGTTATTTTCATCGGGGGTTAGTCCTGATCTATGTGATCAATATGAATCCTCAACTTTCTTATTAGAGGTGACATTTGTTTGATTATTTTACTGAGTTTGGGATGGATAGCCCTCAACCAAGTCCTTATTCCAAAGTATTTAATGTATGTGTTCACCTACTATGACATGTTAGCTACCAGTAAAATACTTGAAAAAATATATAAGCAAGTGCACATTTAGTTCTTTGATTCACTTGACCCTTTGGAGGGTGAGTGGAAAAAATAATAGATGAATTAATAATGAACATTTAATATGGCTACTAAATAGGTAAATGAAAGTAAATGCAAAGTTTCTGCCCAATTTTAACTATAGCCATAGTTATAACGTATATTCACTATGATGATATTTATATGTTGCCACTAATATCTAGATCCTATAAGTATTCCTATGTCTGACCTTCTTAGTTTGTTAAACATTCAATTGAACTATAGCATGTTGCAATTGTGATAAAAAGGACCACATTGAGCTTCTAATGTATGATGAAAAGCTTATGAGGAGGGCAACCAATCACCTCTCTAAAGGCAAGATAATTCATAAAAAGGGACTGTGTCCCTTCACTAATTAAAGAGACTGGTGTCGATCCTCATCCCAAATTAGTTCAAGAATCCATTGGGCTTATCACTCCTTCCACAAAAAGATTGAAGATGGAATAAGGTATAGTGAAGGGGACTACAACACCATTAAATAAGATTATGAGCCCCTTAATACCCATTGCTAAGAGTAGAGCTATAGTGAGTCTGGGGAGAGTGACTGTCACACTCTTGAATCTAAATTGGTAAGAATTGTATCTTTTATCTTTTAATAAAAAATAACCAAAGCTAACTAATTTCTTCCAAAAATAAAATACTAGTAGAAAAAAGAATATTGATAAAAATATAAATATAGATATGTATTTATTACTTCAAAAATTATATATAAAAGCTAATAGTTATACAATTACGATATATTGTCTTCCCACTCCTGACTACAAAATGAAAGTTCATAATTAGCTTTGATACTCACTAATAGTGCTATGAGGAACACCTAGAGACATGGTGAATTGGTAGTTCTAAAAATCTTTTATTTATAAATCCTTTATTTACAAACAAATCTTGAAATATATAGAAATGATTAAAAAAATGAAATTAAACAATGCAAATCACAATATCCCTAACCCAAGATGGAGAATCACTCTTACAGACCAATCACAACTGAAGAATATCCTCCTTTCACCTCTATGTCTTGACAGAGCTGCCATCCCTCCTTTCGCCAATAAGTCTAGTAGAAATGATGATCCATCCTTTTTCCTCGAAGCTCAGTGAGGTGTAAATCCCTCCTTTCTCTTTAAAGCCTGGTAAAGATATTGAATCCTTAGCCTTCTCGGTTAGTAGGTCCCTAACCCTAAAGACTCTCATTCCTTAGAGCTCCTCCCCAATAGCTACACACACATAATTGGAGGACCCAAGGTGTAGATTATTTAGATCAATTGTGTGAATCTCATCACACTCCCTTAACTCCCTCAAGGCTCTTTTCCCTCCCTCAACCTCACATCCTTTTTATCTTGTGAATTGAACTCTCCAAGCTCTCTCATACAATATAAAATGTAACTTAACTGCCAATAGACTCTCTCCTCAAGGCTCTTCTGCCTCTCTCAACCTCACCTCCTTTTTATCTTGTGAATTGGACTCTCCAATCTCTCTCATAAAATAGAAAATGTAACTTAACTGCCAATAAACTCTCTCCTAAAGAAAAAAAGAGTTAATAAATAGGGCTATCAAAAATCTTAAGTTTTAATTTACCAGCCTCATATCGTATAATATGATAATAAGTTCATACATTGAATATTGCAATCTAGGAGCACAACAATATATTTTGATGATTATAAATATTATTATATGTTTATTTAGTTTCTCCTACTTTATATATTGTATATATTTTTCTTGTGCACTACTAACTTATTTAGGTATAATATATATGAAGTAAGACCAAGGATTCAAGGCTCAAGGCTATGCTGTATCAGTGTATGTGTCAATTTATATCTCAAAGAGTCTACAATTTTTATTTTTCTTGAGCCTATATGTATAATAGATGTTTATTGGCTTAAGAATCATGCACACACATAGTAGGGCGAGTGTAATTATATATTTTAATTTATTTATGGATCATACATGATGATCTTGATCATACTGAACAATCAATGTAATAAAAAATAATTAAAATATTTAATTAAATGAGATTTATTTGTAATAGAATATAGCTAATTGTGTTGTACTATCACAACATTATACATGGCGAATAACTATATTTAGTATCCCCACCCTCATTTTAATTACATAATAATTTAAATTTTAAAAGTTATTCTAATTGTAATTTATAAAGTTTAAATATCTTACATAATTTAATATTTATGATTAAATAATCAAATAAGGATTAATTGTGATTGATGATTGTATTGTATGATCTTGATCATACTTGATGATTAGTTGATCAACCTTCTAGATGATAGTGACTATTCAATTAAACTATTCATACTGAATGATATTGGAATGTAAAAAAGAAAATAAATTATTGTACTAAAGAATATGAGTATCATACTGTATGATCAGAAGTAGCTAAATTGAAAATTAGGATTTTTTAAATCCCTCTTAATAAATCTTTTCTTATTTGAGAGAAAAGTCTTTTGGCAGTCAAGGGTTCTATTTTTTCTATGCAAGCGTTTGAAGAGAGAGTAATGTATAAGGAAGAGAGAGAGAGAGAGAGAGAGAGAGAGAGAGAGAGAGAGAGAGAGAGAGAGGGTGAGGTT